TCTGCATGATGCAGCGCTGCCGGACCAGGCGGGCCGAGGGCCGGCGGGTCAGAGGTCCGGACGCCGTGCCGATCAGGACGGAAGAGAACCCTGGTCTACACCAGGCCGACTCCGTGGTCAGCCTCGTCGCTAAGAGTGAGTATTCAACATTAGAAAACAAACTTGGTCATTTTTTCGTGTTCTGTTTTCAGTTATACCCACATTGTAATACTATGCAGAGTATACACCATTCATAAGGATTTTTTAAATGACATGCAACGTCTACTCTATTTTAATGAAGCGTCACATTTAACACACAGGACTGGAGTTAAAGGTCACTATGTTCAAAATAGGATTACAATTACACTGCAATATTGACTAGCTCTTGATGAGACACCACCATATCGTTTTTTAACTGTAACTGACTAAGTTGAACATGCAGAGTTCATATTGTACATCATGCAACATTTTTTTATTATTATTTAATTCCTTATATCTACTTCCTTTTGTTTTCTTTGCAACGACCATCCTGTTCTTGCAAAAAGCTAACAAAACTGGTTAGCTGGACTTCCACTGAGAGACTTCTGAGAGACTTAGATCGTAGCCTCATCAAGTCCACTCTGTGCTCAGTGAAACTCTGCTGATGAAGTTATTGTGGTGCTCCTGTAATCAGGGGGATTAAAGCCACCATCTGGTTTCATGTTATAAGAAGTGAAAAACGTACTCATGCTCTCCTTTATTCCTGTTTTGCAGGCTGCCAGCAGAGGGGGAAAAGATGGTCCATCACTTTTGACCTGTCCTCCATGTCTGGAAGTGACGAGGTCCAGCTCGCAGAGCTCCGCATCCGCCTCCCAGCCTTCGTGGAGTCCTCCCAGGCCTCCGTTGACATCTACCACTCCCACAGGGTTCAGTGTTCTGACGGAGACTGTCCTGAGACCAGGCTGTTCCTGGGACACATGAGAGTCCCGTCGTCTTCCATGTCCACGTCCTCCTGGAAGGTGTTCAACATGACCAAGATGCTGCAGCGCTGGCTGGATCAGGAACACACCTACCAGGGGATGGAGGAGGCCCAGGTCAGGGAGGAGCAGGGGGAAGATCAGGAGGGAGTTCATCACTCTACGGCCGACCGGGTCATGATGGTGGTCTTCTCCAGGCAGAACACCAACAGGAGGCCGACTCTCATCCGCACAGCTGAGCACTCCAAGTACGTCACCGTGGAGAGGAGCTCCAGGAACAAGAGGCACCACCACAGGAACCAGGACCACAGACGGAGAACTCCCAGATCTGCTCCTGCTCACAAGACCACGGAGGAGGAGAGCAAGGGTCCACTGTGCAGGAAGGTGGACATGTGGGTGGACTTTGAGAAGCTCGGCTGGAGCGAGTGGATCATCTATCCAAAGAGGTTCAACGCCTATCGCTGCGAGGGGAGGTGTCCCACTCCAGTAGATGAGACCTTCACCCCAACCAACCATGGATACATCCAGGTGAGATGGAAATCTTCTTCTTTGTGCTGGAAATGAATGAATGGTTCAAGCTGTTGACAAACTTGTTCTAATCCACTATTTTCCATCTTTTTTCATTTCTTCCAGAGCCTGCTGAAGCTCCATCACCCAGACAAGGTCCCGTGTCTCTCCTGCGTGCCCACACGCCTGGCGCCGCTGTCCATGTTGTACTACGAGAACGGGAAGATGGTGATGAGGCATCACGAGAACATGGTGGTGGAGGAGTGCGGCTGCCACTGAACCACCGACCTGGGCTTCAGGAGAAAGGAGGTGGAGAACGCAGGCACTTGAGACAAACATCCAGCTGGACGGACATGGACCAGGAGCAGCTGCTGCTGAAATGCGGGACATTTGCAGAGGAAGCTCAGCTGTTTCCCTGGACTCTGCTCTTTTAATTTTAACAGTAGATGTGATTTATTTGGGAAGACGAGTCGAAGACTGAAGCACTGTCACAGACACCGGGGACAGAAGCAGGACTTATTGTATTTATAAAACTGGACTATTTTAATGCCAGGGACCTGACCAGGTCTGAGGTCAGAACGGTGGAAGCGCTTTAACCTTATTCAGATGTTTGGGTCACATTGACCCATTTATATGTCAACTACGTTATAACACTAAATTATTCTTTATCCTGAACTTTGTCTTCACTGTGTCTTTTATACTGTTGTGCAAATGCAGAGGCAAATTAGTGCACAAAGTGACATCTTTATAGGCTGCATTTTATTTGAACTCAGTCCATATTCATGAAAGAATACAGTCGTTTAAGATTGTGTGGTGTTTTTTGAAAAAAAAAAATCACTTTTTTTTTTATCAATTACTAGACATTTTAGACATCTGAATTCCAGGTGACCCATGTGGGGTCACGACCCCAAGGTTGAACAACACTGCAATGTTAGCAAATGTTGCTATATACTAGGCTAATCTTTGACTATTTACTTTTTTTTCACCTAAATTGGGTCAAGAAAAGAGCAAGACAGTGAAACAATTGGTCACCCCTGTTTTTTTAGTGTTTTATTCATAAAACACAATTTTTCTTAAGACATTTTTTTTACAGACATGTAGGTAATACAAAACAAAAACATTCATTAATAACACCCTGACTTGGGAGTGACTTACACACGTCACATTCATGCCTTATACTAACGTTGTTTTCTAACAGTACAACATTTTTACACTTAAAGAAGTTTAACCAAAAATATATGCACAGCTATAATAACACTAGTTTTTCTCATTTCATGTCATTTCTGGCAGTAAACAAAAACAATGTTAAAAACTGGTTCCATCCTTTGGCCGACTCTCGTCAAATGTCCATTTCAAACTGAGCGTCTTCTCCTGCAGGTGAGGAAAAAAACATTAGAGAAATCAGTCAGGGGACTCACGGTGGTCAGATGAAGAACTGCAGTTCTACATGATAGACCCGCTTCACCTGCACTGTCGTCTGCCTTCAGGCTGGGGTCGGTGTCGTTGTTGACCGTCTGCTCGACATCATTCGTCATGTCGCTGGACTCGTTGCGTTTGAGTGGCCTGGTGACGCCAGGGATGTCGGGCAGTTTGGGAGGTGTGCGGGTCAGTGGAGATGTCCGACACTGCAGTAGGAATTTCCTGTCATAGATGATCCTGGTTCCTGCAGGGGGCAGCAGCAAAAATACATATAAATTGTATATAGAAGTTAGCCAAATAGCTACAGTTTGGAGAAATGAAAAAGAGAGCTAGCATCACAAAGAGCTAATATAAATTACAGTGCAAATACTAGCCTAAATATATCAGTAGAGAACAGTAAATAGCCCAGAGTGAGCTAAAAGATGGCAAAAGCTTAGCCAGACAAGTAAAAGATAGCCGGACATTCAGCTTAGTGAGACAATATTAATGACTTAAGACATGAAACAACAAAGAGTTAAAAGGACCGAAATCCAGTTTCTTTCAAATGTTATTCCAGTTTTGGGAAAAGACTAAGACTTTTTTTTCAGAACTTCTAAAAGTACTAAAATCCCACACATTTGTAAAACTAGGACAACAGAGGTTAAAAAAAAGAAGCATTAGCTATTAATATCCACGTTTGACATTGACTCAGTCCACATACTGTCCTCCGTCCCTATCAGGATCTGCAGTCACCTATGGAACTGTGTTCTGTTTGAACTCTGTGTTGAACACGTCAAACCCACATTCACTGACCTCATTCTGATTTCTATCAGTGTTGAAGCTGCTGCCACCTGCTGCACTACCACAACACACTATCAGTTGTCTCACAAACACACACACACTCAAACACGGGTGTGTGCCTTGACAAAGTTCCCACAACTGCAGAGAACTAGTAGTGTTATTTTTTCAGTCACAACGCAACAAAGAAACAACAACGTGAAGAGAGTGAACTGACAAAAACAACGTTATCCATCTTCTATTTTAATCATTATTTTGCTAATTTGTGGATTTAGGATTTGGATGTGTGATTTGACTGGTTTTGTTTTGCAAGTACAAAATGTTAACATTTACATACGTTTTACTTTTTTTTTTTTTTTACATACATTTACAAACACATATGTTTACTACACTTTTCAAAAGTCAGTCTTACCTTTTACCTAATTAGCTTGGCTAATACCAACTGTCTTTAGCTTAACATTTAGCCCTCTGATTTTGCTATTTCAATTGATATGTTCATTTGTTCGAGTATCTTCTAGCAAACTATTACACATTTATCTGCCGTTTGTCTTCTCACAACTTAGCAATTTTCTTCCCAGCTACGTTTTGTGTCTTATCTTATCTGTACTCCGATAGAACCCTTTTGTCTGTCGGGCATAAATATTAGACTGACGTGACACATGGACGTGAGCTGCGTGTCCTACAGAAGCGCAGATGGACATTCGAAGCCCAGTTAGGACACTGTCCCTGCTAATAGCTGACCTTGACCCGTCGATACCTCAAACTAATTCAAAACTGTACTACGAGTTAACAACCTTATCATGACCCTTTGACATGTCCACAAAGATTTTACATTGCAACTAAAATCTAGGTTTTTTTTTCTTCATATTCATTAAAAAACTCAAAAATGTTAGTTTTGCATTCTGTGGCCCACATTAATATAGAATAATATATATATTTTCTGCTGGATAATTGAAAAGATTCAGTAGAGAGATTTTCCTTTTCACACCCCCTGCCCCGTGGCCCAGGTCTAGTAAACATGTTGCTGCAGCTCCATGGCAGCCCAGCACAGTAAAAACTGTTCTAAAAATAAGGCAGGAGTACAGTCCTATATTTAAAGATACACTCTTTGATTGTGTACGTGACAGTAATACAAGCTTTACTAGTCACACAAGTTACACCGCTTTAGGAAACAGCGCCACACATGCGGACACACACACGTGCAACTGAAGGAAAAATGCTTTTTTAAATGAACATGAGTTGAAAGAAAGTCAACTGACAAATATATGTTTCCTTGACACGATTTATCAGTTCCACGATGTTCCTTTTTTGTTTCCATTTTTTTGTTTACTTAAATTTTGGTTGAATTTGAAATATATTTGGGTTTCTTTCAGCAGTTTATTTTTGTAATGGTTGTGCAATCCTTTGGCTAATCTCCTGCTAGTTTTAGGAAAACTTTGTTTCTTGTTTACAGTATCTTTAGGGTTAAACTAAGAAACAACGGCTAACCTGTTGCTACATTTGACTTTAGGCTAAGCTATAATTTTGCCTTACTAGTTAATTTAACTAATTTATTTTTTCATTACTTTAACCATTTTTTGGGGGGTAGAGGGGTATTAATGTTGGACTATTGTCTGGGCTAACATTTTAGCTATAGCTTTAGAATAATTATTGATTAACGACTTATATTAACAGCTTCGTAAATGTCTCTATCGTGGGACGGACAAAGGAGTCCTTGATTTAATCCACCAGCAGAGCTGAAAAAAACTCATTAACATTTGAAAAGCCAAAAATGACCAGACTCTTATCATCAGAGCTTCTTTAAAGTAAATATCAGAGGAGTTGGCAACTGGGTTACTGTCTATCAGTAGTCCCAGATGTGTGTGAAAGGTGTGTGAAAAGTGCAGACTGTGGGTCACGAGTCTGAACTTTTGCTCGTGTCCATATCAAACATTACCTAAACCTATTACTCAGTAGGTGTTTTCCACTAAACACTGGCTGAAACACTCTTTTCTGACCTTGGCCAACAAAGTCGATCCATGCAACCCACTTTTGGGCCACGTCCCATCACTTGAGAGACAGTGGTCTATAGCCTATATAATACTGCATATTGATAAAAAAGATCATGATAAAATCAGTGACAGCAATACTTTTGAATAATTGGCCAAACATGTTACCTCAAATGTATATTTTTATAATATAAAAATTACTTTTTAGACATCATGTAAATTAAACAAATCTAAATTTTCTTTTTACAAGATTGAGATTTTTTATATATATCATTTTGCATGTTTGTAACATTTATCTTGTGCACAAACTGGATTAATTTGACAACAAAATGAAAATCTTTTTTTTATTAATATATATTTTTTTGCAATTATTCAAAAAGAAATTGTGATTTTTTGGCAACTGAAGTAAACTCTTAATTTTGGCGCACATTAGTAGTGACTTCAAAACCTTTTTTTTTAAATTTTTTTTTATTTAATGGTTACTTAGTATATCAAAATGTAAATGTTGCAATTCGCATTATTTACCCGTTTGTAATAGTATATTTCCCCCCAATATAATTGGCCAAGAGTTTGAACTACTTTCACGTCAAAAAATCGAATCGTAAGTTGAATAATAATCGACAGGACGATAAATCTCATATTACTCAATTACAACATACCGATACCCGTTTCTTTAAATCTGCTCTGGACTCACATACCATTACTATTTTAGCGTTAATTTGAAAAACTCTTTAAGAAATTCCTCGAAACACCAGCTCTGCATGTCACTTCAGCTTGTTACCTCCTGGTGTGGTGCTAAACAGAGTTCCTCCAGGGGTAGTAGAGTAGTCCAGGGGCATGTGGGCAGCGTCGAGGATCGCGACCCTCCGGACAGCAGGGATGGCCCGGCTCTTGGCGCTGTGACCTCCCGCTGACATGGCTCTGAGCACCGGGGGCGAGCTGCGGAATAAGTCGCTGACTGTGTCGGTGTGTGTGTACTGGGAGACTAAGGAGTTCCACAGGAAGAAAGGGGGTTTAACGCTGTGCTTTACACGTGGTGCTCGAACCCAAAACAACCTCAGCCGCGACACTTCCTGCAAAACAACACGTGGAATAGAGCTCCGTGATTGGTCCAGAGCAGGGGGCGGGGCTCAGGCTCGGAGATGGTTTTTTTTTCAACGACATTAAGGAAAACTACTGGAGAATACGGTGATTGTATAAGGCCTCTTCATGGAAGGATAGAAAAAGAAATACATATTAAAAACGAGAAGTAAATAAGCCGTGAAACAAGAAATAATTAAATTCCAATTGAATTAAAAACATGAAATAAAATTACAAAATTCGAAATAATATAAAGACAGACCAAAAAAAAGTCTCAAAATTAGGTAAAATATTATTTTTTAATGTAAATTTAACGCCACCATTAGGAAGAAAGGGGGTCTGTGCATGAAAATGCTGTGCATGAAAAAAAAAAGAGGTGTGTCTGTTCTGGTTGTTGATGTGTCAGACAAAGGGAGAGTCCGTGTTGTTTTTGTCACATTTTTGTTTATTAAGTCTTGTAAATGTTCTGAGCTGGTGTACAGGGTTTACATGGTCTATACAGATCTTCCTGTCAGAGAGAGACTCTGATTGAAAGGCTTGGTTCTTTTTCTTTTTTTTTACATTTTCACCTCCTTTTCTCTCTCTCCTCTTCCTTCTCTTCAGGACGATACAAAAGAAAAAAAAAACAAACAAACATGTGGTCAAAGCTACAGAGCCTCTACAATCCCCAGGATCTGGGCGTGGTCGGCCTACGGTCTACAGAAACGCTTAAAGAACATCCAGAACGACTCTATGAGGGGGCATAGCATTCTAATTACATATATATATCAATATATATTTTCAATTTTTTTCATATATTTATACATAGATTTTCATAAAAACATATTTGTGCATTTGCGCGGTTGCATTCCTTAGGATATGGTAATACGATATTGCGTTTACATTGTCATGTATCCATTCTAAAGGAGTATACAGTAGGTGATGTCTACTTTCTGAGACATTTACATTTTTTCATAATACTCTTTTTTTTTCTTAAATACATCACTGTGGGTTACATGTCCTTGTTTAGGTCACATGCTGGGGTTAAAAGTCATCCTCCATGCTTTCCTAGTCCAACCATGGTCAGACACACACACACACACACACAACAGGTTACTACAAATGATATTGTTAGTGGACAACAATAAATGACTTCAACTTGAAATGAAATGATTTCATAGCTGAGAAAGAAAGGTTTAAAAATGTCTAAAGCAACTGGTGTGACAGACATTCAGGCAGTTTAGAAGTAGGGCCACCAGGGGTCTCAACCTCAAATGAGCCCATGAGGCCAATGTTGTCCCTGTCATCTCATTGTAGGGCCAAAAACTACCAGCAGGGGGTCAGATTATACTATACTAATGGACATTGCTGTGTGGCACGTGGGTGGTTCGAGGGCCAAAAGTGTCTCGCTGACCGTGAGTTTGAGACCTGGTGTAGACGTTTACTGTGGTTAAACTAAATGTGGTGTCACTTTTACTTTAAAAGAAAATAAGAACGTTTGTAATGACAGATTGGGACTCATATCATCGGAGGAAGAGGAAGACGTCGGGGTACATAGTGATGGAGGACATGGACAAGGTGGTAGCAAGTGTCATGGTGCCTCCTAAAGATGGCAGCCACATGTTTCATCCAGGGCAGCCAGTGGTTCCATAGTGCAGTGGTTAACACACCTGCCTTGTGAGCAAAAAGCAGAGTCCGTGGTTTGATTTCCAGAGGAACCCCTTATTCCTAATGGTGCCTCCCGTGTGACTGCTTTTAACTTGCTTAATTGACGCAGCCTATGGTGCCTCCCGTGTGACTGCTTTTAAGTAGCAACAACTTGCTTAATTGACGCAGCCTCTGTCAGTTACAAAGACTCACACTGTAAATTTCCCTATTGAGGTTTGAATGACAGATTCAATTATTAGAGCCAAGTGAGTCTTAGACGGTTCTGAGTTCCTGTGTTCCTTCAAAGTTCAAAACTAGTAGAAGTTTTACTTCTCATACAGACGTAGTATCTCTTTCTATAAAACTGAAGCTTAAGAGAACTGATTGGACGGATCATTCGGAAGACTGGTTCAACATACTGTTCCATACATTACACAAGACTCAACCACAATCACCAGTCCTGGTGCAGATCATCTCTTAATATAGACATATTTAAATACTACACAGCGGTAGAGTCAAATATAAATATGGGATTCAATCTAACCGATAATTTGGACTAAATCTTTATGTTAATGATTGTTTAGTTGTGTGTAGTTTTTGTTCCGACGTTGACAGAATGCAGCGTAAATTAGAGGAGGAAGTTTTTCCTGAGGACTCAGGTTAGAGGATTAAATAAAATTTTAGTTCAGTGGTTTTCAAACTTTTTTTGGCTTTAACATCACAATTATATGATGACCTTATGGTGACAGCTCATATATTTTTATACGCTGAACTTACTCTGAAGTGGATTATGTTCATGAATGTGAAAGAATACAGTTTTTTAGGATTGTGTGCGAGGTTTCAATCATAATTTTAAGAAGAACAAAAAAATAAATTTAAGTCGATCCCATTTGAATTCCAGACGACTCCAAGAGGGGTCCCACCTCCGAAGTTGAAACACACTGTATCAGAGGGAGTGATTTTGTGAAAAGATTAATTGGAGGAAAAGGAGTCAGTAGTCAGACAGAGTCAGAGCAGCTGTCTGTGCTGTGAGGACATCTCAACTACGTCTGATTAACTAAGTCTGGATAACTAACCAAGTCGGATTAACACCCAACTGGTCGCTTTTGTTTCACCACCAATGCCCCAGGAAGTCAGTGGAATACATTCACAGTTAATACTACTACATTAATACTTCTACTGTACTTATTTGGTGTTGAGACCCAACAACAGGCACTCACACAGAAACACACAAACACTCGTTCGTCTGAGTTCTGCCTCAGAACTTAAACACCACGTTGACATTCAACACATTGACTCGGACGTTCTCCGAGCAGAACTGAGGACCTGAGTGGAGGATGCAGTGGAACACGTGTGATATTTAGTCAAACAAACATGTGCTGTTATCAGACGAAGCTCCTGCATGTGCACAGACATGGGAAAATGTGTGCGTTGATTTGAAACGGTGTCCATTCACTCGTACATTCAACCAATCAGGCTACAGTAGAACTTACAGTACTTATGAGATACATATTCTGTCCACAGAGAATGTGTGCTACTCTGATGTGACCCGCTTAGGTTGTGGTGCGACCTGCAAAATCTCAGGCTGTGTTCACAAATAAAGATCAGCAGAGGTTTTCCAACAGCTTCAGTTTCAGGCAGAACTATCTGAACGCTACAACAGAGGTTTCTGGGTTGGGTCAAACCGAACAAACAACGTTGGTCTGAATCAAACATTAACCTTTAACTGAGTTAATGAACCACTGATGCTGTTGAAGCCCAGACACTGTAGACTAGAGAGTTGCCATTTTCTAACAAGTCCATGTCTTCAAGTTCAGAAGTCGGAAACCTGACCATCCTGGCCTTTTGAGGACATTTCAACTCTTGGAATTGTAGAACTTCTTCAAGAAACTAAGCTGGTCCAGTGTCCTACTTCTAACATTCCTGTTGCCATTACATACAAAGTGGAGTTAGCAGGTAAAGCAGCTACATGTTTTCAGAAGAACTTGTCTCTTGAAACAGAATCATATCTTTGAATTTACATCTTTGAGCTGTGTCTGGAACAAACACCACCATTTTGGTGACAATAGGAAGGGAATAAAATGCATCAAATGTGATCGAAATAGTGAATTTAAATTTCAGAAGGTTCCAGACTGATGTCCATGTGGACTCTAACACCCTGTCCTGATGTCTGAACTAGTATTTCAATTGACAACGGTTTTAGTGATGTCCAACAGAAACAGATCATCATTGGTAATGCAACTAAATGGCATATGACACTTTTGGTCAAATTGTCTCTTTGGCTCTGCTGGACATTGTCGTGGTGCTGCTCTCTTTGGTCTGTCTGATTTTTTCCCCTTTCTCTCTCTGGTCTTTGCTGACAGCTGAGCTCTCTGAGTCTGGATCTGCTGGAGATTTCTGCTGGAGTTATTAAAATTACAACGTAACATTGACAGTATTGTGTATCTATTCCTAATTTTCTACCCTGTTAAAGGGCTTTTTTTGGGCAATTTAAATGTTTCACTTGACTTTTTTGTGAACACACCCTAAACCACAGTTGTTGACATTGTTACTAATGTGGGGGGGAAAAAAACTGTCACAAAATGAGTTTGTTGACTCTCTCCATCTCAGCAGCAGCAGCAGCAGACTCTGGCTTCCATTCTCTCACATGTCCTCATTTACACGTTGTGTGCTGAAGAACAAACTGTCCTGCCCAGGTCTCACATTTCCAAGCTGCCACGGCTGCTGAGTCTGCTTTTCCACCAGTGATGGCGCTCTCTGCATGCTCATCTTCTCAAAAGAGTCCAGTTCTTCCCACTGTGGAACTGTGGACTCTGTTTCTGTGGATTGTGATTATTGCTGTTGTACTCTGTTGCTCTCACTGCACTACTGTGATACCTGTGTACACATGACTAAGTGTGCGTGTGTGTGTGTGTGTGTGTGCTCTTGTTTAGTCTAGAGAGTAGTGAACGTTACTTGTGTGTCTTCACAGTCTGGGGTCAGTGTGAGTGAGACAATCACAGTGCTTCCTGAAGTTCCTGTGCACGTCACACAGATCCTTCTGCTCCTGAACCTCAGAACTCATCCTCACGCATCTCAGGTGTGTCTGTCAACCGAGACAAACGAAGGTTGTTGCTACAGCTGCGGCAGCAAGAAATACAGAGAGCAGGAGGTGGAGAAGCTGATGAGGAGCCCAGTGAGTTTTCTGCATAATTATTCAAGCTACTGATAAAGAATAGGAGTTTAAATGCCGTGTGCTACTGGGAGAAACGAAGAAGAAGGTAGAAAAGTTAAAAAGGTCGATCTTTGTGTTGTAGACCTGCTGCACGACACCACCAAACAATCAAACAAACAAACCACTTTTCA